ATATAACAATCATATAAACATATATTTCATCATATGATAACAATTAATGCATAATTCATTATATATCATAATTGAATAATTTTTTATAATGATAGGCAACATAAATTTTTACTAAGTATAAGTTCACAATTTCAAAATATAGCTAAATAACTAGAGATTGTGTAGAACCAAGTTTTAAGACTTTAATCATACTATAACGCTTTTTTTCAAAGTCCATGCTACTTTTTATTCAATAAAAATCACATAAATTCTAAAACCCTCGGTGTAAAATTTTTATAAAATATTTAAAATCTCAATTTCTATAACATATAAAAAGTCATGCATTAAAAATTTTACTAGTGTAAAGTTGTCCTTATTTTTTAGTAATATAAATAAAAATTTAATTATAAAATTTTGAAAAAGTTCATATTTTCGAAAAATGATATAAACATAATGTGACCTATCTCGATCTAGACAACTTTTAGAATTTGGTCGACTGCTAAAAATGACCTGAAGTAGCTCAAAACCCCTTGTTTCACTCTCAAAATCACTCTCATCTCTCTTACTCGGTTGCAAAAGTGACCAGGTCAATAGAATAGTGAAAATATATTATATTTAAGTGCAAAAAATGGTCAAGTTCCAAGCGCCACTATTTGAATGCCACAAAGCCATTTCAAATTCTTAAAACCCGATAGCACAATGCCAGGGCGCCAATATTGAGAGCCTAAGTGTTAGTCAACACAGTACAAAGGCGCTAGAGCACACAATATTACGACACTCTAGAGAAAAATTCCAGATTTTTTTAATATGCCTTCAGACTTCTAGAACTCACTCCATAACATATGCAGACGTTTTTCATACACATAAAAATACTTTAAAACTCTTATAAAATAAATGCAAAAGAGTTCAAAATATAGAAATTCAAGCATTTACTTCGTTCATAACAGGTCAGAACAAGTTAAATCAAATGTTGAAAATGGAGATGTCACATTACTCATGTTGAATATTACTGATGACTAAAAAAATGTAATAAATATATTTTAGCTCACTCAGCTCTTGAGCCTCTCCTTCTGTAAAAAGAGAGGCCTTATACATAGCCTTTTTGGAGGGACATTTTGTTAAATTTGACCAGAATTCAAAATACTCCATCAAATGATTCATGTTGATCTCATTAATCATAAATCATTTCTCTAGCATTTGAGTTCATTAATTTAGTTTAAATTGAGTGATATTGGGCTTGTTAGATTAATATCGCTGACCTGCTTTGCATTTATACATTAAGCATGCACAATTTAAAGAATATTTGATCCTTCAATTAACATTAATAAGTTTCATACATGCTTTGCATGTTGGATTTATGCTCATTAGGATACATTATGGATCATTTTATAATGTGTATGGGTTCATCATGTCGAGACATTTAGTTTGATATTAAATTTGTTGAAATCAAAGTTTAGATAATTTTCAATTTAATTCTTGAAGTTTTTGATTTTAATAATACCTAAGAATTATACTGATCAAGTAAATCACTTAGAAATACATCATTTCCCCTTATTTATGGACTTTGAAGGCTATGTTGTGTGTGTGTGTATATATATAATTTTTTAAAAACTTCACAGTGTATAATTGTCATTTAAAAAAAATATGAGATGGGACTACTCTCTCGATGTTATAACATGGACCTCCCTTTCCAGGTCATGAACAAAATAAAATTTTATTAATTATAATATCAACTTTTTCTAAAGTCCATGCATTGATTAAAGCAATAAAAAACTTATTCTAAACTCTTCAAATCTTTTTGAATTTGATCATGGAAGTTCCATTAGAGTTCTGAAAGTGTCAAATTTAAGTTCATAAAATAAAAAATATCTTCGGGGCCCCATAAATGCTAGAATAGATTTATTCGGGCCCAAATTGCCCCGATCAAATTTGAACAACTAGGTTGACCGACCAACCACCATCATTAGGGGCACAGGTAGATATCGATGCAGTGCTAGTATGTGCTTTTTGGTACGAGTGCCTTTCAAGAGAGGGCATCAATTTTTTTCTTTTTATTTTTCTTTTTCATTTTGTCATTTCTTAAATTTTTTAAAGAATATTTTTTTCCTTATTTTTTTATTTTTTTCGCTTTCCATTTTAAAGAGAGTTTTTTTTTTTAATAAATAATTTTTTAAACTTTCCTTATCCTCTTACTGGTCTGTTATAGTGTTCATATAATTGATCAACAACTAGTTGGAGTTTTCTCTTTATAGGCCTAAGTTAAGGAAAGTTGAATAGAATAATACCTCAATTGGTCGTCCATGATTAATTAAGATTCTTTTAATATTATAGCAGGGATCACGAATCCAATGTTGATGATAAGTGCATCTTGATGTGAAATATGGATCCATATATTCTAAGTTAGAATCATCAAATTTGATAGAATGATCAATGCAAGATTTCTTAGTTATTTGTTCATGGGTGGTAAAGAGAACTTGTGGAACTTGTGGAGGTAGAAAGGGCCCTCAAAAAAATTGTCTCGATTTCTCTAACCACTTGCTAGTTAGTCTGATGATACCTTTGTTGGGGATCGTGAATAGGTTGTTAGACCTAAGTTAATGTCAATGTCCCAATGCTAACCAGGGAGGGGGGGGGGGGGGGGGGGGGGGGGGGGGGGGCGGGGGGGGGGGGGGGGGGGGGGGGGGGGGGGGGGGGAGCTGTTTTTTGGGGAGTTGGAGGGTTAGGAGGAGATGGGTTTGGATGTGAGATGGATGTAGATAGGGTGGGAAGAGAGGATTTTTTGTTGGAAAGTAGTGTTCATAAAATGTGAACATTGCGAGAAGGAATGATTTTGTGAGTGGAAAGGTTGTAGGCATCAATAGCCTTTGTGATGGGGGGAGTAGCCAAAGAGAAATAAGACATTAAGTGGAGTGAGGAAGCAAGTTTGTGGAGGGGTTGGTATGGTGTGGAGCCAGGAAAACATAAGGCCAGGCCGAAGTTTTTACAGTGTATAGACTGAGCTGGGAATTTTGTATAGGAAGTTGGAAAGGTTGAGGACATTTTTTAAGTGGACTTGGATGGTAAATGAATTAATGAGGAATAAACATGGTGGGTGAGGGATTCAAGCCAGAACGAGAAGTGAGGAGGCTGGCGCAATGATGAGGGCTCGGAGTCGGTTTTCTAAGTATGGTGACAATTTTTAGCGTTCGGCTTACGCTGCTTTTGGTATCTGGAGGGCAATATGGGTAGCGAATTGGTGGATAATGTCGTTGGAGGATAGTATGTTTAAAAGGTTGAATGGGAGGTGTCTCACCTCCACGCATTAGGGAGAAGCATTTTTTATTTTTGTGTGCAAGAAGTTTTCGGAGCCGACGGCAACTTGAGAAAAATTGGGTTTAAAAAGATATTAAACAATTTTAGATTTTACAGTTAC